ATAGAAAAGGGTAGCCCAATTAGTCGGCTAACGAGGCACTCAACGGACCATGGCCGCTGCGATTGGCAACACTAATCAGACCATCAATCAACGATTATTAAGCTTAGTCGACGATTATAGCCACGTTAAGTACTTTAAAATTCATCTTTTAATGGGCTTCTAATCGGTATGTGTCCAATTGCAATTAATTTCTTAGGGGAAAAATGGTTATTTATAGAACCTGTTGAGCATCACTTTCATTCTTCTTTGTCGATGTGGGACATCTATCAATTCCCTTTACAACAAATACTTAATTACTGTAATAATTATATAAATATTAAATCTGTACTTTTTTGGAAAAGAGAATTGATAATGGCGATGATATTAAATTAGACAATTCAAAAACTGTTAACAGGTTATACTTATAATAATATGAATTGTGAAGTTGTATACATATATTTTCATGAAAGTGTATAAATTATTCAATAAATTTCAAAATTCTTCTTACAATTAAATTTATAATGTCTTTTACTTAACATCTATGTTTATTTTATTTAATTAAAACATTACTAATACATATTTCACATATTATTTATTCATTTAACATAATATTTTTTTAATAGAAATTAAATTAAATAAAATAAAAAGTAATCCCCGATTAACCCCCGACTAATCTCCAATTTTTGGTCTAGGCTTTAGACGGATCTCGGCTGCCCGATCAATGCCTAGCGCAATTTTGAACTTGGGGTAAAACCAAATATCGTTCAACTACATGAAGAATTGAGAAAGTTCTAGTTTTTCGGAAGTCCACAGCCTTTATCTTTTTTAGTTCTGAAGAAAATCTAAAACTCAAAAATGCTCTCCAATAGAGTCAGAGGCTGAAATATCATATATCTAAGAAAGTAGAAATTAGGCTTCTAGCAAAGACTAACTGATATTTGCAAAATTACTATTCACTATAGCTACAGTTGTTGGAAACAAATTCAATCTTTGCAAAAATTAGGCTGACGTCCATAATTTTTTGCTGGTATGACTCTCCTGGGCCAAATTAGGACGTGTATTAGACCGCCGGTCCACTACGCCCTAAGTTTATAGCACCGGACCGCCGATTCGATAGATCCCATATGATAGGCCACCTGTTCTCCGAATTTCTTGTGACTGATATCGCAGACCACGCTGTGAGAAATAAGAAAATCGGAAACTGAGTGACCAGGAGGAAAAAATGCCACATTCTTTTTTTTTTAAAAAAAAAAACCTAGAACGTATCGGCCAACCAAAACGGTGGAATCGAGTTTACATAAATAATATCTTGTGGATGGGCACGAGCGCTCCTCGCAAGGTTGTCCGCCTTCAAGTTCTTTGTGCGTGGAATGTATGTTAGAAGGAAGAAGCTGAATCTGTCCTTCATTTTTCTGATCTCTTCCAAGTGTAGGACGAAAGCTGGCCATTCGTCAGGTGTAGACACCATCTTCACCAAGTCTGAACAGTCTGTTGCAAATGCTACTTCCGTCTTCTGGTTCAGAAGCATGCAATGCATTGCCCAAATAAGGGTCTCTGTTTCTGCATGTAGAGGCGTAAGACTCCGTCTTACCTTCTGTGCACCCACTATTTTGTCTGGTATTCCTTCCTTAAAACAATATACCATCCTAGTCCCACATAAGGATCCGTATCTTTCCAAGAGCCATCAAGATAACACCACCAACCCTCATAGGGTGTATTAAGTGACAGGTATTGAGCATTGCGTGTATCTACTGTGGATGGATCTTGTCCCTCCTTTTGGGCTTCTTCCCACAAAGTCGCTTCTGTTTCCGCTATCTTTATTGTAACCCTCGGGTCGACGTCTTTATTCGAATATACTTTTTCATTTCGTGCCATCCATATGTACCATACAATCCAAGGGTAATATGTACTTTTCGCCTCTTGTGGAATTCTCCAGAAAAGATGATCAAAATTTGAATAAACCGATGACCCCGGGAAAGTCTCTGGAGGTGATGGGATTTGGGATAACGCCCAAGTTTGTAAAGCCGGAGGACATTCGAACAAGACATGATTAATGGGTTCCTCCTCCACTTACATTGTGTGTCGCACATTGTGTGTCGCATTGTATTCCTCGAGTACGTAATCTAGCTGATACCGAGAGACATCCAGTTATAGCTTTGGGTAGTAATTAATACCCTTACAAGTGGCTGGTCTCAGGCGAGAAAAAGGTATCCATGGATCATTCCAGACAGAAATAGAACATCCTGAACCAACTCTTTTGATGAGTCATTTAATAACCAGAGATCGAGCCGAGAGGATACTTCGCCATCCATAAGACGGTGAGTAGGATTTCACTGGGTCCAAAGGACTCATATTCCAAAAATATCGTCCTTTAAAGACCCGGGCGAACAGGGAGGTTGGTCTATCGATGAGCCTCCATAGTTGCTTTGCCAATAAAGCTGTATTAAATTCCTCCACATCATGGAAGCCGATTCCTCCTTCATTTTCGTTTTTACACAACTTTGTCCATGCCATCCAGTCCATACCTCGGTTATGTCCGTCTGAACTCCACCAGTATTTTGCCGCTGTACTAGTTAACTTCTTTGTTGTGGCTTTAGGAAACCGGAAACAAGACATGACAAAATTTGGCATCGCAGATGCTACCGATTTGATTAGGACTTCTTTACCCCCTTTTGACAACAAACGTGATATCCAACTGTTTACTCGGTCTTTTTGTCTCTCTGCTACAAAATTAAATACCTTAGTCTTGGCACCATCTAGACTTTCAGGGATACCGAGATACGATCCTGACCCCCCTGTCTCTAGAAATTCCTATAATCTGCCGCATCTCATTTCTAGTTTGATCTGGGACCTTGTGGCCGAATTGAATCGAAGATTTATCAACGTTAATTTGTTGTCCCGAAACACATTCATACTGCTTTAGTATGGCCAGTATCTTCTGACATTCATTTGTATTTGCTTTGCAGAAAAAAAGACTATCATCTGCAAAAAGCAGGTGTGAAACCGGGGGACTTGTCCGTGCAACCTTTAGACCAGTTAATAGTTTATCCTCTTCGGCCTTCTTAATATTTGCTATTAATACTTCCGTGCATAAAATAAACAAATACAGGGATAAAGGGTCCCCTTGGCGTAGACCTCTTTTCGGGATTATTTGGCCCTTTGGTTGGCCATTTAGAAGAACTCTATATTTTACTGAGGTAATGCATCTCATCACCCATATAACCCATCTTTCTGCAAAGCCTAACTTGCGCAAGAGTTCCTCTAGAAATGTCCATTCAACTCGATCATAAGCTTTACTCATATCCGTCTTGATTGCCATGTAATTACTTTTGCAAGATTTATTAGTTCGTAGACCATGGAACATCTCTTGGGCTATAAGGATATTATTCGAAATCAACCGTCCAGCCACAAAAGCTAATTGTGTTTCGGATATTAGGGCCGGCAGTAGTTGTTTTAACCGTTGACAAAGCATCTTAGATATAATTTTATACACGACACTGCAGAGGCTAATAGGTCGCAGCTCAGTCATACGTGTAGGGCGTTCTGTTTTTGGAATCAAACAGATGTTTGTTAGGTTTAAGCCTTCTTCGAAAAAACCCGTCTCCAAGAAGCCATTGACTAACCGTACTAGATCCGCCTTAATAATCTGCCACGAGCGCTGGTAAAATAGTGCTGTCATTCCATCGGGTCCCGGAGCCTTTTCGGGGTGCATCATAAATAAAGCTTATTTAACTTCTTCCTCTGTGGCTACCGCCGTGAGCATGGCATTATCTGTTTCTGAAATTAGTGGTCTAATCTGACCCAGCGCGTCCTTAAATTCCGTTGGGGAGGTGGTGGTGAATAGTTTCTCGAAGTATGTAACGGCCACCTGCTCAATCTCTTTTTCGGATGTAACCCACGTTCCCACCTCATTTATGCAAACCAATAATCCGGTTACGTGCTCTTCTTTGTTTAACTAGGGCATGGTAAAACTTAGTATTTTTGTCCCCCGCTTGTGCCCATTGAGTCCGACTTTTCTGTTGCCAGTATAATTCTTCATCTTGATAAGCTTCCTGTAACTTTTTGGCTATATCTTTCAGTTCCTCTTCCGATCGTGTATCATCGTTCTGTATTTCCTCTAATGTTCGTTTCAACTTCTCGATTTCGTCTTTCCCATATGGTATTAGGGTTTTCCTCCATTTGGAAATTATATTATTCGACGACAGTTTCGTATTTTTTCCATGAAATTCACTTCCTCACCACCAGGATCTAGGTTCCAACCTTTGGTAATGGATTCCATTAAACCGTTTTTTCCTAACCATCGTTTATCAAAATGAAATTGTGATTTTTTGCGACAATTGGCCTATGGTCCGACCCAATTATTGCCAAATACTCAACAAAGGAATGTGAGAAAAGCTCATGCCAATCTTCATTTGCCAGGGCCCGATCAAGTCTACACCGTACAACTTTTGCGTTTTTTCTCCCTCTCCAAGACATTGTATTCCCTAAACACGGAAATTCCAAAAAGCCACAGTCTCTTATCATAAGATTAAAGGGCACAAATGTGGACGCATGCCTTAAGTTGCCTCCTTGTTTTTCATTATTACCAGTAATTTCATTCATGTCGCCAATAATAAACCAAGGATCTGTCCTTGTAAGACTTATCCGCGTTAACCTTTCCCAAACTTGGTCCCTCAATTTTGCCACCGGGTCTCCATAAATAAAGGAAAGAAATACCTTTTTTCCAAGAATATTTGCCTCAATATCAATAATTCGTTTATTTGAAAATAAGATAGTAACATCAAAAGTATCATTATAAAATAAAGCAAGTCCATCACTTGCACCAGACGGTTCAACCGTGAACAATTTATTGTAACCAAAATGAAGTTGAAATTTTTGTAAAAAAAAAAATTCTTGCTTGGTTTCTGAAAGAAACAAAAACTCTGGTCTATGTTTCTTCCAAACCTCTCTAAGAAAACTTATTGTCCAATAACTCCCTAAACCCTGACAATTCCAACTCAAAATCCTCATATGATAAATTTTTATAGTTTTTGTTCCTCCTGCGAAAGTGAGGGACCTTTTGGAGCTGCCGGACGTGCTCCTTCTCCTTTGCGGTTTGTTGTTTTAGTAACCTGCTTCTTCCGCGGAGAGACCATCGCTTGAACCATTCTCTTTTTAGAGCCTCCACCAATGTATTGCAGACTGGATTTAGTTGGTTTCTTCTTTGGTTCTGGATTAGTTGGTGCAGCTAATTGCTTATTTTCCTTCTCCATTACGCTCGTCTGAGCACCGACCTCACTCTTATCCATCACCATAGTTTCCACCGGTGATTTAACCTGCTCCACTATCATCGGCATCTCCATTTCTGAGTCCTCAATAAACTCACCATCTTCTTCTCCCAGGTTACCAAAACTGTTATCAAGACAAAGTTGAATTTCACCTGGTTCAATTCCTGAGTTCACCTGTTGCAGAAATTCGGTTATGGCATCACAAGCCTCATAAGTATCGCCTTGTGCTTTCACCTCCTTGTTTAATACCGATGTATCTGCATTCCCATCTGGAAATCCCAAGTCCTCGATTTCCGTATCACCTTTGCCCCGAGATACAAGACTCAGCAAGTCATCATCCTCAAATGACAAGCTTTTCCTCACTACTGTTTTTTTAGATCCCGCTGTAACATCCATACCCGATCCGTCTTCTGTTCCTTGCATCATTACTGATCGTACACCATCGTTCTCTTTGATCACCTGAGCTGCTTGGACCGGCGAGGTTCCCTGATTCTCAGCGACAGAGATTGTTAAATGCGGCTGAGTCACCGTTTCAGTGTTAGCCGGTGTATCGTCTTTCTTCTCCTCCGTCACTGGTCCCTTTTTATGTTCCTTCGGAGGAGGGTGACTCGATGGCCTGTAGCTTCGTGAAGCTCCTTCGCCATATTTCCTCTCTGTTCTCCCTTTGTACGGCCTGCCTTCAATACTTCCTCCATTGTTTTTCACCACCTCCTTGCCTCCATTACCTCCGTATTTAGCCGCCGTTTTAAACAAAGCTGGTCCCTGCCCCTTTGTCTGTTCATCGGGAAATTCTTCTCGACTCCATCGCTCCTCCGAACCGATCCGAGTTGGGCACCGATGATAATCATGGCATAGGCTCAAGCAAGTCTTACATAAACCAGACAGATGCCCATACCTTAGGTACACCGTAGTTTCCTCACCACCGTTGAATTCCACCGTTGTTTCAAAAACTAATGGTTTGAAGCCGTCGATTATCACCTGGATTTTCCCCTCATCCAGATTGATTGCTTCCACTGCTCCAAGAGCCTTGCCGATACTTTTGAAAGTGACATCCGCCCAGTAGTGGAGTGGAACTCCCATCACTCTTACCCAAAATGTAATCTTCGATGGGTATTGTGGATCGACCACCGGACTCCACCGCACTAGCGACAACATCCAGTAATCAAAATGGAAGGGCTACATTTTCATCACCTCTTGAATGTCTTCCTCCCTCTCAAAATCGAACTGAAACTTGCCCATTCCGAGATCCGCACCGGCTACACGATCTTCCAATTTCCAGATTCTTGGAAGCATGTGTAGGAGAGCGTTCATATCCTGCATCTGAGAGTTCATGCATCTGCCAATGAGAGTGCGTGAATACCCTTCAATGAGGCTTTTGTTGTCGAATTTTGGAAAAATGATCTTCAGTCGCTTGATTGGAGCTTCAACATCTTTTTTTGAACCCAATTGTTTTAGAACCGCACTTTGTGACATCTTGTTTTGTTCACTGAGAGAAAAACGTAACTGGGAGAATAAGGATTGGAGATTTGAAAGCTCTGAATGGTGATGAAAAACTTCTCCATCCACCTCTTTTAAATACTGCTCGTGATTTCCTTGTTTATGGTCGTCATTGATTTCTAATTGATCTTCATTATTCTCCAAGATTATACCGCATCTTTTACCGCGTGTCTTAATTGTCCCCCGAGATTTCTGTCTGAATTTTATCACACTGGAATTCACATCTAGGATGAGATTGTGTTCCTGATTTCTCCCGTATTCACTCCATAGGGGATCGTCCTGTAAAACCATTGATAACCAGGATATCGATCTGATTTTCCTCCAATCAAGCCGAGTATTGGCCTTGCCGTTGCAGAGATCCTCGTTTCCTTTATCCGTCGAAGTTCCCTTTGTCATTTGATTTGTATTATTACACCGGATCTGCATTTCCATTCTCACCGTTAAAACCCATGTGCAAATCTTATCAGATCCACTCTGATTCAGACTCGCTCCTCCGTGATTAATCCGCGACACTGAAATGGGATCCTTAGGATGTTACAAAATCCCAATCAAATCCATCCTCAGTATGACCGATTTTCCTCAGTCTTCATTTCTATAGAGAGAATTTCGAGAGACAAAGTTTGATGAATTGTTATAATCACTAAAATGCCACATTCTCTATGTCCTATACCTAAATTCAGTGATCCGGAAGAGTCAGGATATAAAGAAGTGTGGTTCGCACAAGTGCCTAGAGAGCGAAGTCATCCATCCACGGCAGAACAGTCCCAGTATCGAAGGAACCAGGCCAGGTATGAATAAACTTCTTAAGCGGGAACACTATTCAAATTTCACTCCATTGGACAATAGGAATATGTCTTAGTCTGATTTGATTACCCATACCCTTACAAACCCACGAGATTGACACTTAATGTATTTTCTTTACGTGTGTCAGGTGACAGTGACCTTTCGCAGGAGCCAAGGGTAAAAGCAGAAGTTCAGCGAAGAGTCATACAGGAAAAAATGGAAAACAAGTCAGGAAAAGAAAAACAAACTGGCTGCGGGTAGCTTTGTCGCAGCCGCGGTGGGAGCATGTTCCCCTGCGGGTGAGGCGACTCAACCGCGGTAAAGTAAAGCTCGGTTGCGGCTGAGCTTGTCTTGGCCGCGGCAAATGGCTTCGGCTATTTTGCCTCTTTTTCTTCCTTCTTTCAATTTTTCAGGAAATTGCTTGATACTTCCTCCTATCTTTTTGTATGTTTTCTTTTTTTTTTAAATGTTTTTGGTTTTTTAGACACTTGATAAAATTAGGAGTGAGAAGAAGAAGCATCTTCTAGATTAGAAGTCCTTGGGGTCCTCTTAAGCTTGAAGAGGGGATCTCCTTCATCTTGTATCAAAATCTCCTTTTATTTTCTAAGGATCCTTGCATTCTTGAAGATATGTTTGATAAAATTGAAATAAGATAAAGGATTTGAGTATGAGAATCGCGACGAGTAGGTGATTAGTTTTTAATTATTTTATAATATCTAAATAGTATTTAATCAATTTTCAAGATTATATTTTTATTGATATATATATATATATGTATATATTTCAATTATTTTAGTTATTTCCTTTGATTTTGATGATCTACTCATGTCAATTTAGCTACCATCTTCCTAGTTTATTTGAGTGATGAAGAATTTCAAGAGTTTACAGTTTTGAGAGGGCTAAAGTAATATATATATATATATATATATATATATATATATATATATATAAATTAAAAACGATGATTTTCGAAAGAAATGATAATGCTAAGGCTTTGCATTTCGCCTAAGGTTTTTTCCATGGGCTTCATCCTCCTCGACCTCGATTCGGCCACAGCAAATGAATCAGCTCGGCCCATCATGAAGGGACGCATCTCGGCCCAATCAGGAAGAAGCATGGCTCGGCCCAATCAGGAAGAAGCATGGCTCTGCCCACTTATTATCCTTCACGTCTCGGCCCACTTGTTTTTCCTCTCACAGATCGGCCCAAGCATCGCACTGGGCGGCTCGGCCCATATTCTTTCACAGGCGGCTTGGCCCATCTGCTCTTTTCTCCTACGGATTTGGCCTACTCTCGTATTCCTTTGCTATGGCTCGGTTCTCCTGGATACTTAGCCGTTATGAAGATGGTTTAACCGCTCGGGGTAAAAACCGACCCCGAGAGTTAGCCCCCCAGCTCGTCAGTTTTAGAGACGGGAGTGACAAGCTTCATCGTTCTTAGCTGCAAGGTTAACCATCGGGCTGAGTCGACGAGGCGTTTCAGTTTGGAGTTGCCGATCCATGAAGGGTAACTATGATGAGGTTTTGTAAAACCATACCAAGCTGTTTAAGAGATGATGTGGCGCTCTTTGGTAGCAGATCATGCTGAGCCATTTCGAGCCGACGAGGCTTTCGAGACGAGTGATAATGCCGAGCTGTTTGTTTAACGACGAGGCGATTTAGGCAAAAGAAAATTCCAAGCCGTTTTGTTAACAACGACGAGGGGATTTAGTTTGGTAACGCCAAGCCGTGTTTTGAGGTAACGACGAGGCGATTTTGTTTGAAAACGCCGAGCCGTGTTTCAAGATAACGACGAGGCGATTTTGTTTGACAACGCCGAGGCGTGTTTCAAGATAACGACGAGGGGTCGTCGTACCGAGGATGTTGAGTCACGAGGCGTTTTCAATTAAGTAAAGCGGCTCGGGATCCTTTATCGAGTCTAAGTGGGCTCGGTCATACTCGAAGCGCTTCCCTTTTGATGATTTGCTGCGTGTGCATCGAACGCACTCTGTAGTAGGTACGTCTCTTAATGAGGCCGTGCGGATTCCATGCGCCATACTCATAATTTTGCTGATTCCCGAGGTTGATGTGGACCCTACATGCCTTGGAGCTTCTATATAAGGGACTTCCAGCCGTCATTTTCTCATAACTCCAGCTTCTCCAATTCTCACAAAGGTAGCTCTCCCTTCTATCTTCTTTCTCTCTCTAAATTATTTTTCTTTCCGGTTAGGGTTTTTGCCTTCTATGTCGGCTCTCCTCCGCGCTGTTGATATCACGCGGCAACAGGTTCCTGCACCATCGACTTTCTTCGGCCAACCTTTCAGATCCTAAGTGACGAGCCGAGCTGTATATTTGTAAATCATGTACCGTCGTACCCCACTATGTCGAGCCGAGCTGAGGAATCCTTGGATTCCCTTTTTGATTACGGAGCGCAGATCAGGACAAATCGAGGCGTCGCGATGAACACCGCTTTGAGCCGAAGCGAGAGGGACGCCGAGGCGGATGCGTCTTTGTTCCGAGGTGGTAACGGTGCCGATGCGAGCTTCTCATCCAACCGAGGCGATGAAGGCGCCAAACCGCGAAACCCTACCAATCGTGGCGATGATGGTGGTAACGGTGCCGAGGCGAGCGTCTCTTCCAACCGAGGTGATGGAGGCGCCGAAGCGCGAAACCCTACCAATCGTGGCGATGATGGTGTCGAGGTGAGCCCTTTCGCCGATCAAGGCGACGAGATCACCGACCGCGAAACCCTACCAATCTTGGTGATGATGGTGTCGAGGCGAGCCTTTTTGCTGATCAAGGCGACGAGATCGCCAAGATGGAATGTCGTGACAAATCCTTCGAAGCTGAGGCGAGATCCTGTGCGAACTCTAGTCGCTTCCATCATTTCAAAAATGGAATGTGTTCCTGCAAAAGGATACTGGTGAACCTGATGTTGCTCCCTCTATGCCCTCAACCAAACACTGTTACCTTGTATTAGAGCAATTTCATATTTACCTGAACGGGTCACATCACACAGGTTATAAGAGACCTCAGTGGAACCATATGTTGAGGATTTGCACATGGATACTGCAGACTTCAAGGACGTTCCTGAAGGGACAAAGAAAAGGATAATAGGCATTTTGCTTACAGATCCCAAGTTGATTGTATAATTTAAGCAAATTTTGTAAATGAATAATTTTGTCTTCTTTATTTTTGGTAGAGAATATAGATATAATCACACTCAGTAGCATGGGTTTCTATTCAATAAAACAAGATTTGTTGTTACATTTTTTTAGTTTTCAAAAAAAGTCAACACTATCTCCTAGAGTGGCATTAGAACGACCCATTTTTTTAAAGTTCCAAAAAAGGCTTGAGATGCGTTCGTTAGGTCTGGTTCTTTGTTGGATATCGTTTCTGGCCATATCAATTTCACTCTCTGTTTCTTCATCGGATGATCAATTCAACGTCGACGGAACAGTACTGGAGCTCACCAATATTGGACAATGCCAATATTAAGGAAAAGGGTCAAAGTTTGTGTCTTATGATAGCTTCAACTTCGATCACAAATAACTCATGTTCTTGATTCTGCAAAGTGATGTGTGGTTGTAATGGCCAGTTTATATCTATATTCTCTACCAAAAATAAAGAAGACAAAATTATTCATTTACAAAATTTGCTTAAATTATACAATCAACCTGGGATCTGTAAGTGGTTGTAACTAATATCAAATAAAGGGCTTTATCAAGAAATTAAAGAATCAACCAGTTCAACGACATGCAACAACTTCCTGTCTTGATTCAACGATGGCTCCCCAAGACTCAGACTCTGGTTTGAAACCTA